TCTATGAGTTTGTCCTTTCTGTAAGAGAAGCTGAGGTGTTGGGTGACAACAGCTAACATTTTCCAGGTAAGTTCCTGGTGTACCAGTTAATTTCCCAGTACCAAGAACTACCCACAGGCCACAGAATCATCAGGACATACTGGGTGTGTTTGTGTTTTTGTCACCTTGAGAGACTCCAAGTTCTGCTGAAACTCCTGCAGCTCTCTCTCTCCGGTCCGTATCCTCCCCTGGACCATCCTCTGAGACTCCTGGAGCTGGAGCTGACAGACAAACAGACAAACAGATGGAGAGGTGGACAGACAAACAATAAGAGAATAAGACATCCATGCAGATATTTAACAAGAGCATTTTTACTGCATTCGGGGGAATAACTGTCCATGTGGTGAAAGCTCGTAAAATATCTCATATAACACAGCTGTTATACAAGTGCCTTATCGTTTAAAAGACTGATAACTGTTCATAAGCAACATCGTTAATAAATGCTAAACTGAGAGGTAATTACTAACTAATTGTTAGTTGGCTTGCAAACCACCATTGAAAATTATCTGGATGGTTACTGGAAATTGCAGCTTTGGAAAGTGCTAATAAAATACTCCACAGCACACCCACAAACATCATGTGGATGGCTATGATAAAGGTGAAACTGATATTAATAAGCGGTGTTTTCAGTGCGGTTGGGTTGGGTTTAGGAACCAACAAACTACACTGTTAGGATTTTCCTAAACCTAACAAATCAAATTATTTGCAAACATAATGAAAGGACATGTATGCTCATTATGCTCAGGTTTAACTGTAAAGTATGGATGCATTGATGCAGCTTATTTTAAAATGTAAAAAGAAGAAGATTTTATTGTAGTTGCTATCCACAAAGTTGGAACGCATTGAGAGAAGCTGTGAGCACCGTCTGCAAGCAAAGGTCTAACTTAATGATTGTAGATTAAATCTGAAGCCAGCCACAAATAGTGCAGCTATTATTTCTGATGGTGTTTGGCACAGAACAGAGTGTGTTTTATCTCCTCTGTCCAGGTACTGAGACATCATTTTGCATGATTTAACTTCTGTGGCATCACCTCAGCCAACTGCTGCTTAAGGCGTCCTTACAGTGCAATAGTTATAAATCTAAATCTATTTAGTTAATCGATTCCACTCGTTTGGACTCTTCCTACAGACTAAAGTCGTACTTAGCAGCTTATTATCTGCAGTATTTTGTGGGGATTCTGTGAGTTCAGTTCAACACTGCTAAGTTTATTTGTAAGAAAAGAGAAGAAGCAAGTATTTCCTGTTTGTTTGATCGAACAATGTTTTTCATTTTAGAAGTGAACACACACACACTTTTCGGGGTATCCGGACTTAATGTGAGAGTCTTAACTCTGTGCTGTATTATACAATACTCAGAGTTTCTCTCAGCAGTACCTGTCTTCTAGCTCTCTGCGCTTCCACACTGGGCGCTTCCTCCTGGTCGGCCTGGCACAGCAGGCAGTACCCGCTCCACTCCACCGCAGCCCCTGCCTCGGAGCCGCTCCCCTCGGGCTCCAGCCCCAGGCGGTGCTGAGCGCACAGCTTCTCCGCCACACATTCTACCGCTGGCACCAACTTGTGGCGTCGCAAAGTACCGACCTCACGGTGCGGCAGGACGTGAAGCTTGCAGAAAGACGCCAGGCACACCAGGCACGACTTGTCCGCCCTCAGTTTACTCTCCGCCGTGCAGAAGTCGCAGGGAACTTCCCCGACTCCCCCCAGGTAGACCTCCGGCGCGGTGTCAATCTCATTCAGCTTGAGTTTGCCGAGAACCTCGGCGAGCACAGTGTTCCTCCGCAGCACCGGCCGAGGGCTGAACGTGTCCCGGCACTGAGGGCAGCTGAACTGACCCGAGTCCACCCGGTCCCAGTAGCTGTTGATGCATGCCATGCAGTAGGTGTGTCCGCAGGGGATAGACACCGGGTCCTTCAAGATGTCCAGGCAGATGGGACACCTGAACTGGCTCTCCGTCACCGAGATATTCGCCTGAGCCATCTCAGCGGTCGGCTCCGTCCGCTTCCCCGGATCGGCTCTGAGCTG